CAGACACAGACACACACACACACACACACACACAGACACACACAGACAGACACACAGACAGGAGGCAAGAAAGGGAGAGGGGAAGGGAGAGGGAGGGAGGGGGAGGGGAGGAGGTTTCACCACGAAAAGCGTCCGAAACCCCATGAAGATCTCAGCGAAACGAATATTCCAGAGCAGGGTCGTGTCTTCCCCAGGGGTTCGAGGCCAGGGGGTGGGGGTGGGAGTGGGGGTGCACGCTGGAAAGGGGGTGACCCTGGACAGGACGCCCTGCCCCCTCCAGCCGCACGGGCTGGGCAGGTGGCTCCGTGGTAGAGTGCTTGCCTTGCATGCCTGAGGCCCCGGGTTCGAGTCCTCAGCACCCCATAACCAGGAAAAGCCAGAAGTGGCGCTGTGGCTCAAGTGGTAGAGTGCCAGCCTTGCCCTGAAGAGCCGAGGGACAGCGCCCAGGCCCAGAGTTCAAGACCCCACGACTGACACAAATAATAACAACAAATGAAGGCAGGGCAGGTGGGGATGGCCTTGGGTTTTCCCTCGGGAAGTCAGGCCGTGTCTGGGGGCGCCCTCCTCACCCCCCCTTCTGGCCGGGCAGCCCCCGCCGGCCGCATGTCCCTCCTGAAAACCCTGCAGAGCCTGGAGCCCGGCCACAGGATCAGCGACCGCGACTACACGGGCTGGATGGACTTCGGCCGGCGCAGCGCCGAGGACTACGACTAGGCCTCGGCCCCCGGGCCTCCGCCCCCGGGCCTCCCACCCCGGGCCTCCGTCCCCGGGCCTCCCACCCCAGGCCCCGGGCCTCCGCCCCCGGGCCTCCTCCCCCGGGCCTCCGCCCCTGGGCCTCCCACCCCGGGCCTCCTCCCCCGGGCCTCCACCCCTGGGCCTCAGATCCTGGGCCTCCATCCCCCGGCCTCCCTCCCCGGGCCTCCGCAGGGGACAGCGGGCACAGGAATGGAAACCCGCGCCCCTCACTCCCCTGTGGCTACGGTCTGACCTTTTTTGAAGTCTCCATGGATCAAGCTGGTCATGTGACACCCCCCCCACAAAATATAAAATGCAGTTACCTCCACGTATCTAGATGACGCTACAGATCAATGGAGCCGTGCTCAGGGCCCCTGTGGTGGTTGTGCTATAATAAAGCGATCGCATCCGGCCTCCCTGGGCGTTGGTGTCTCTCTCTCTCTCTCTGGGGTTCAAGGATGGACCCCCCCCACCCAAGACATGATGGGGGGCCCCGGAGACCCCCACCTCCCAGCAGGGGGCATGTGATCGGGCCCTGAGTCTTCCCCCCCCCCCTCGTCATCCCGAGTCCGGGGTGGGGTGCGGGCCCGGGTGGGGGCCAGTGGCTCACCCCTGAGATCGGAGGTTCGAAGCCAGCCCCAGCGGGAAAGGCCGTGAGACTCCGATCGCCCATGAACCACCGCAAAGTCAGGCCGGCGCTGCGGCTCCGGTGGTGGAGCGCCGGCCTCGCGCGCACAGAGGCTGTGGGACGGCGCCCGGGCCTCGGGTTCGGGCCCCGGCTCAGGCGGGGGAAGTGAACTGGGCTCCGTGCGCGCGGGCGCCGCCCCGCGGCCGGCGCGGGAACTGCGGGCGCCGCCCCGCGGCCCCTGTGGGAACTGCGGGCGCCGCCCCGTGGCCCCTGTGGGAACTGCAGGCACCGCCCCGTGGCCCCTGTGGGAACTGCAGGCGCCGCCCCGTGGCTGGCGTGGGAACTGCGGGTGCCGCCCCGTGGCTGGCGTGGGAACTGCAGGCGCCGCCCCGTGGCTGGCGTGGGAACTGCGGGCGCCGCCCCGTGGCTGGCGTGGGAACTGCAGGCGCCGCCCCGTGGCTGGCGTGGGAACTGCAGGCGCCGCCCCGTGGCTGGCGTGGGAACTGCGGGCGCCCCGGCTGTCCCTGGCGCTGGGGGTCGGGTCTCTGGGCGGGTGCTGGGCCGGATCCGGGGCAGTCCTGAGGTCAGGGGTGAGGGTTGGGGGTCACTCCCCCGGGCTTCTGCTCCGTCATCTCCCGGTTCAAGCCCCCGGGCTGGGGACCCCATCCAGGCTGGGGTCCGGGGCGGTGGCGCGCGTGCGCGTGCGGGTGGTGTGCGGTGTGCGTGCGCTCCAGGCTTCCCCCCCCCCCCATGGCTGCACCGTCCACCCTGGCACCCGGACGACCCCTGAACCTGCGCGGGAGGCCCGGGGAGCGCGGCAGGAACCGGGATGGACCCCGCGCGCCCTCTGCCGGCGGGGGCGGGAGCTGCACGGCGCGGTCCCGGCGTGCCCCGCGCGCCCTCTGCCGGGCAGGGAGAGGAGCTGCACCCCGCGGTCCCGGCGTGCCCCGCGCGCCCTCTGCCGGCGGGGACGGGAACTGCACGGCGCGGTCCCGGGCCGGGCCGTGCGGAACTGTGGGTAACGCGCGGACGCGGCGGCAGCGCAGCGATCGTACCAACGTCGCAGCGGTTTATTGTTTGCGTGATAGAGATTTGTCATATAAAATATAGAGTCTTGTGGTGGGTGGCGCGGGGCGGGCCCGTCACCCCGCGGCCCGGGCCGCCGTCTCCGCCCGCGCGCCCCAGGCTGGCGCCCGCCCCGCAGCCCGCCCCGCGGCGGCGTCCCGGTGGCTGACGGGAGGTGGGCGCGTCGCGGACGTCCCGCCGGGCTGGCGGGGGCTCGGGAGAGGCCACGGCGCACGCGCGGGCCGGGGCGGGCGGGCGCGCGCAGGGTCACGCGCGTTCTCGTCTTGTGACCCCGCCCCCCGCTCAGTCTTTTCCCGCCTTTTCTTTTTTTTTTTCTAGAAAAAATACATTCCGAATGGAAGGTCCGGGAGGAGGCGGCGGAAGCTTCTGGAAGGCGGCGGGAGGGGGGAGGAGGGGGTGAATAAATAACCGACGGGACGGACTCAATAAATTAAGAAAACCAGGGCAGCGCGGCGGCTCCTCCGCCTCCGGGCGGGCCGGGTCCCGGCGGTCAGCGCGGGCCGGGCCGCGCGGGCAGCGGCGCGCCCATGAGCACGCCCGAGGCGAGCGCGGCGGGGGCCCTGGCGGCCAGGCCGGCGCCCACCATGGCGGGGAGGCTGCGGTTCCTGCGGAGCCCGGCGGGGGCGTGGCCGGCGGCGGGGGCGTGGCCGGCGGCGGGGGCGTGGCCGGCGGCGGGGGCGTGGCCGGCGGCGGGGCGGGGCTGCGTGGCCGGCGGGGACGTGGCCACGCCCAGGCGCCGCACTTTGTCCACGAGGCCGAGGCCGGCGGCGGCGGCGGGCACGCGGGCGGCGGCGGGCGCGCGCACGCTGACGTCGGTCTGGCTGGCGCGCGCGTGCACGGCGCGCAGCACGGAGCGCGCGGGCCGCGAGGCCAGGAAGGCGTCGGGCGGCGGCGGCGGCGAGGCGGGCGGCGGCGAGGCGGGCGGCGGCGAGGCGGCGGCGGCGGCGGCGGCGGGCGAGCTGGGCGGCGCGGCGGGCGGCGCGGGCCGGCGGGCGCGCGGCGAGGCGGGCGGCGCGTACACGGCCGCCGAGATGCCGCGCTCCTGCAGCAGCCGCACCAGCCCCAGCGACGTGCTGGTCGTCGTCGTGGCGTCGCGCGCGTTGGTGAAGGACTCGGCGGCGCGCACGCGGCGCGGCCTCCGCGGGGGCGCGGGCGCGGGGTGCGGCGCGGCGGACGGCGGCGTCACGGGGCCGGGCGCCGGGCCGAGGCTGCAGGGGGAGGCAGAGAGGGCAGAGGTCAGCGAGGGCAGAGGTCACGTTAGACAGGGGGACCCCCGGCCTCAGCTCCCCCACCCCCACTCGCGGCCTCCAGAGCCAGGCGCGGGGCACGGGGCAGGGGGGGATGTATTTAGGGGGGCGCCGGTGGCTCCCGCCTGTCACCCCAGCTACTCAGGAGGCTGAGATCGGAGGATCACGGTTCAAAGCCAGCCCAGGCAGGAAAGTCTGTGAGACTCTGATCTCCAATAAACCACCAGAAAACCAGAAGTGGCGCTGTGGCTCAAGTGGTAGAGCGCCCGCCTTGAGCTGAAGAGCTGAGGGACAGCGCCCAGGCCCAGAGTTCAAGGGCCAGGACTATAGAAAAGGGGGGAGTGGGGGGAAGGAGGGGAGGAGGAGGAGGAGGGAGGGGAGGGGAACCCCCTGACCTGAGCACAGCACCTGCTAGAGGCTCCATTCTGAGCAGGGGTCTGCAGTGACCAGACAAGGGGGACCCCCACCCTGGGGCCAGGGGGGTGGGTGGACAGTCCATTCCACAGCAAGCACATGGGGGGGGTTCCCCCACACAGGGGCTGACACCCCCCCCCCCATCCGTGGGTCAAACCACACAAGCCCGGGACCGGGAAGGGAGCACACAGCCGGGAACACAGTGAAAACAAGTCACAGCAGCCGCCAGGGTTAAAGAAACCAAACACACCACGACGTGGAAACGGACACGGGCCGACCACGGTCACTGTCGGCTTGCAAGAGGCAGAAAGTTCTAGACTGAATCATCCTGCCTGGCTGGCCAGCCCGCCCCCCCCCCCCCATTCTCTCTTCCTGTTCCCCCGGCTAAAACTTTAGCTCCCATCTTTTTCTGGTCCCCAGATAGGGAGCTCTCTAAAGTCTGAGGGCAGCCTGAGGCCTGTGAGATTTTTGGGGGCCCCATCACCCCAAAAATAGAGGGGCTGGGCCTATGTTATTTAAAACAAAAATTAACAGCATCTCCCTTTCCCAGATATAAGCCAGGGGAGGGGACGGCAGGATTCAAGATGGAGAAGGTAGGGATACAGGGGAGGCCTTTAGGCCATTGGCCCAACCTCTCAGCTTCGTCTGGGGTCGGTTGTGGGGTTTAAGAGTTCAGGTAAGTTAGGGGAGGTCTTTAGGTCATTGGCCCAAGCTCTTGGCTTTGTCTCAGAGCTGGCTTTGTCTTGGGTGGATAGTGGGGTTTAAATAAGAGTTCAGGTAAGTTAGGGGAGGTAGGTCATTGGCCCAAGCTCTTGGCTTCGTCTGGGGTGGGTCATGGGGTTCAGATAAGTTAGGGGATCAATCAATAGTTAGGGGGCTCGGGGCACGGCCACAGAGACACACAGAAGCTGGAGTCCCTGGATTAGTGGCGGCCACACGTGCAACACACACAGATCCTTCTGGACGCCCCTGCCAGGGCTCGGCGGGCAGGTGGGCAGGCGGCTCACCCCCGCCTCCCAACCCGCTCACTGCCTTGCCTGTGGGTTTTAGACTTTCTGCCCTATGTGTCCTTCAGCTCAACGGGGCATGGGCTGCTGCGTCGACCTCCTCACATGACCTGCGGAGAATCAGTTCATCGTTTAAGGGGTTCTGGGGGTGGGGTGCGAACTCCACTTCCTACACTCTGCATCACCTCAATTCTTGCTAGGGTCTCCTTTGTTTTTGCGGTTGTTGGTCCTGCTGGGGCTTGGGTGCTGTCCCTCAACTGTTTTTTGTTCAAGCCCAGCACTCTACAGCTTTGAGCCACAGCACCACTTCTAATTATCCCATGGTTCACAGACTTTCCTGCTCAAGGCTGGCTTTGAACCAGCGACCCTCTAGATCTCAGCCTCCTGAGTAGCTGGGATGACAGGTATGAGCCACCAGCACCTGGCTTCGTTGTTTTGTTCTTTCTTTAATTCATGCCATTCCTGGGGCTTGAACTTGGGGCCTAGGTGCTGTCCCTGAGCTCTTTCACTCAAGGCTGGTGCTCTACTACCCCTTGAACCACAGCACCACTTCTGGTTTTCTGGTGCATCATTGGAGATCAGAGTGTCACAGACTTTCCTGCCCTGCGCTGGCCTTGTTCCACGATCCTCCGGATCTCAGCCTCCCGAGGAGCTGGGATGACAGGTGTGAGCCGCTGGTGCCCGGCTTGGAGTTGGCTTCTTCTTTTTAAACGAGCCTTTTGACTGGGATCTCTCCACCACGGGACCACACTTCCCGCAGAGAGGGCCGTGCCCCGCGGCGCCGCCCACCCTCGGGAGGGAGGGCTGTCCCTTACCTTGGTGTCACCCGTGTGAGCTCATCAGAAGGGTGCAGGATGCGGCAGGTGGTGAAGGTGAAGGTGGAGTTGGTCTGTGACATGCATTTCCCGGGGTGGTGCGCTAGATTCGGGGAGGAGGGGAGGGGAGGGGGGAAATAAAACATATTCCTTGCATCCAAGTAAACCACGAGCAAAACAACCCCCAATTCCAGCACTGCCCCCCCCCCCAGATGCAAGAGGCAAAGAGGCGAGCCTTGTTAGCTGGAGGTGGGCAAGGAAGGGGAGATCCGAACTGTCCTGGGTGGAAGGCAGTCTCTCCAAAGTAAAATGTGTTGGTTTTTTTAATTTGTTGGACGCGGGGCTTGAACTCAGGGCCTGGGCACTGTCCTTGGGCTTCTTTGTGCTCAAGGCTGGTGCTCTACCACGTTGAGCCATGGTGCTACTTTCGATTTTTGAGTGCTTCATGGGAGAGAAGAGTCCCATGGGGACTTTTCTGCCCGGGCTGGCCTCGAACCGTGATCCTCCAGATCTCAGCCTCCTAAGTGGCTACCGGCATCTGGCCAGAAATAAAACACATTTTGAGGGGCACCGGGTGTGGGGAGGAAGGGAGCTCAGCTTTCCACCCAATCCAGACCAGACGTTGCTCATTAGTGGGTTAATTTGGGGAGCGGGGCAGTAGTGGATCCAGCTCAGGATTGGACAGGTAAATTTACTGTTCTGGGTAAACAGTTTCCCAGCATTTCTGCACACAGGCTGGACAGGGCTGCTTCTCAGGCCATTTTTCATTTGTTTTTCTCTTTTCTTTTTATGTTTGTCAGTAATATTGGGCTTGAACTCAGGACCTAGGCCCTGTCCTTGAACCTCTTTGGGCTCGAGGCTGGTGCTCTACCACTTAAGCCACATCTCCACTTCTGGCTTTTGGGTGGTTCCTGGGAGATAAGAGTCTCCTGGGGAACTTTTCTGCCCGGGCTGGCTTTGAACTGCGATCCTCTAGATCTCAGCCTCCTGAAGTAGTGAGAATGGCAGGAGTGGGCCAAGGGCACCCGGCAGGCTTTGCTTTGTTACCAGTTTTTTTCCACTGGCAAACGCATTGCCAAAATGTTGCCCAGGGCCAGGCGGTGGGAGAGGGAGGTCTTTGGCTCCTGGAAGGCAGGGGCAGGAAGGGGGGGAATTCCGGGATTAGCTGGTTCCACTACCATGCCTGTCACTACCATGGCAGAAGGCGGCGACCACAGTACCTCAGAACAACAACAACCCGGCGAGGGTTTAGACTGGGGAGGGGGGGTCCCCTTGGGTGGCCACAGCTCAGGAGCAGAATCCAGTCTGATCCCTGAATCTCCCCAGTCTAGACTCTCTCTCCCCCGCCTGCTGTTTAGCCATGTTCAGAATGGCTGATTTCTACAGAAACCAAGATGGCAGCATGGACGACCGCCTCCATTTGTAAATGTTTAAGTATTTCTCTCTCTTCTGGGGTGAGAACTGAGGCTGCACACAGGCCCTGCAGCTCTCCCTTGGCCATCCTTTGCTTCTTTAGTTTAATCGTGCTTTCTGGCTTCACTTGAGCCACACCGCCTCCACTTCCAAGTTTTGGTTTGGTTTGGTTTTGGGGGGGGGAGACACGTAAAAGCATCTGGAGGACTTTCCTGCCCCAGGGCCCTGGCTTTGAACCGTGCTCTCCAGCTCTCAGCCTTCGAAGGGAGCTGGGGAGATGGGCACCGAGTGGCCGCCCCACCCCACCCCCAGACACCCCACAGATGGTGGTGGTTGTTCCTATGGCTAACGGCCGAGTGAGGCATGCGTGCGGGAATGAACTGGGGAGCCAGCGGGGGACAGGGATCTACAGGAGACATCACGATCACTGCGGAGGGGGGGAGGCATCCATTCAGAACTCAACCAGCATCGTGGGGGGAAAGAAAAAGAAGAAGGAAGAGAAAGAACAACAACGTGGCATCTACAAGCATGCACAAGGAAAGGGCAAGGAGGAGCTGGCCCTGCCCTCCCCACCCCCACCCCACCCCGGCAGCTAGTTCAACTCCCAGAGACAGACTTTCCAGAACAATCAGAAAACAGATGAGGATTTTTTTTCCAGAGGCCAGGGGGATTCAAAGGCTGAGAGCTAGAACCTTCTAGCTCTTTATTGGTGAATTTTCCCTCTTGGGTTGGATTTTAAAAGACAAAAGGAAAAAGGAAAAAAAAAAAGAGCACAAACCAAGAACTAAGAGATACAACAACAAATACACGAGAATGTCGAGGAGAAATGAAGTTTGTAAAGTGAGGGCAGACAAGGGGGAAGGAAGGAAGGAAGAGGGTGACAGACCAAGAAGGGATTGTAGCCCAACTGTACAACTACTCAATAACCATAATAATGATAAGAATAACGTAGAGACATAAATTGAAAGCAGGGTGGAAAAACCAGAAAATAATAATAATAGTGATACAAGCCCTGGCCCCTGGACGGGTGGCTTGTACCCCCTGAGAACAGATACTTAGCCATCAGGGAAGGACCATGTAGAAAACAGCAACACACACACACACACAAAAAACAGCCTTTATGAATCCTGGTATTTCCCAAATAAGAACACAATGGCTTTTGGGACATGGGATGATGAATGAGAGAAAATTCTGGAGGAAAATTGGGAAATAAAAAAAAAAAAAACTATAAGGTAAAGTGAACTATACAATCATGATTTTCCGACTGCAGGAAGGATCTAGAAACAAAAGCAACAGAGGAGCCCCCAAAGAAGCGTTTCCTCCCTCCCCGCCCCCAATAAACAGGAATGATGGGAGTTAATTTGGAAAAGGCAGGAAGAGAGAGATGGATGGGACAGACCCCCTGGAGAGAGACTGAATGGAAATCCACAAGGACACCACGGTTAGGAGAGAGACGGACATTTAAAAAAAAAAAAACAAATTAAAAGAAAAAATACAAAGCGAGGCTAGATGTTAAAAAAAAGTCCTTGAAACCCAAGGTGAAGATTACAACCCACCAGGCGCGCACACACACACACACACACACACACACACACACACACACACACACACACACACTGCTTGTCTCCATGAGGTGTTCGAGTCCCCTGATTGCACCACAGATCATGATCTGAGCAGTTGCCCATCTGACCCCAGAGGGCTGGGGCAGGGTGGGGGAGAAGAGGAGGCTGCTAAAAAAAATCACAAGTTCACCCAATCACAAGTTCACCACCACCACCACCACCACCACCACCAGTTTGCCAAGATCGACAGCTTTCGCAGATCGATGGCGCTCAGAGAGGATGGGCGGGACGGACGCGTGCCTGCACAGGCTCTCCACGGGTCACCTTGGGTGGCGGCCGGGTGGTGGCTGCGGGGCGCTCCCTTGGGAGAAATGAACACGGACATGGTGAGCGGAAGGGGATGCGGAGGGCCAAGAGCTCCTTGGCCTTTACCACTGCCACCCCCTCGTCACCACCCCTCCAGGCTGCCACCCCCTTTGCCTGGGGTGCTCACTTCAGCCCTTCTGTGTCATGGCCGGGTTTCCAACTCCCAGGGTGCCCTGCTCTCTCTCTGGCTGGCTGGCTTTGCTTAGTCGAGGGAGGCCTGGTGCCCTCACCACTTAAGCCATGCCTCCAGTCCAGCCTTTTGCTGGGTGGTGGTGGTGGTCAAAATTGGGAGGGAAAGAGTCTCATAGATTTTTTTTGTGGGTTTTTTTTTGTTGTTGTTGTTGTTCTCTGCCAGGGGTTGGCTTTGAACGGCAATCTTCAAGATCTCAGACTTTTTTTATTTTTGCCAATCCTGGGGTGTGAACTCAGGGCCTGGGCGCTGTCCCTGAACTGCTTTTGCTCGAGGCTGGCGTTCTACCACTTGAGCAACAGCGCCACTTCTGGTTTGAGTTGTTTGTCAGACATGAGTCTCACAGCGTTTCCTGCTGGGGCTGGCCTCGAACTGTGATCCTCCAGCCCTCAGCCTCCTGAGTAGCTAGGATGACATCGGTGTGAACCACCAGCACCTGGCTGGACCTCCTCTTTGTTTTTCTCCTTTTTAGCAGCCTCTCTCCTGTCTCCCAGCTTTGGGGCTCTGTGGGGCCCCCGGCACCTCCAAGAGGAGAGGAGAGAGAAGAAGTTGGGGCTGCATGTGTGGTCTACACCAACAAGCAAACCCCAAAACAAAACAAAACAAAAAAAACAGATCAGAGCTGCACAGTGGACACGCAACCACTCCCCACGCGGGACACACAGGGACACGGACAGAAGCGACAGGACAAGAGCACCACTGCGACAGAAGAGAGAGGTGAGAATGGCCCAGGCCGCTGCTCCTGGGAGCGGGTGAAGTGGACAGGGCTCGTGGGGGGGCCCTCACCAGACCCCTCCTCCTCCTCCTCCTCCTCCTCCTGCGCGGCGGTCGGCTCCCGCAGCTCCTCGGAGGACGCCTGAGGCCGGCGGGGGTAGCTTCGGCCGCCGGCCAGGGGCGCGGGGGTCCAGGGCCTCTCCTCACCTGAGGCCTCGGGGCGGCGCTGGGCGGGCGTGGAGGTAGCTGGGCCCCGGAGGGGCAGGTGGTCACCTGTGTCGTCTTCCTCCAGGTCATTCAGGCTGTACACCTCAACCAGGTCCACGTCCAGTGTACGGAAGCCCTTGGTGACCACCCCGGGCCGGGGGTCGAGGATGCCCCCCAGATGAGGCTGTGCCAGCTGCTGCCAGTGGTGCAGAGTGGCGGAACCTGCCAGAGGAGGAGGAGGGGGAGGAGAGAAAATGGGGAGCGGGGTGAGCGTGGCCCAGACCCCTCAGAAGCACCCCCGAGTGGGTGAATCCTGACACTGCATGCACAGGGGCACTGCAGGCCAGGGTCATCTGGCCAGCAAGGCCGACTGCTATACCCTGCCCCGCCAGGAGGGGGGGCTGGGGAGCTGTTTCCCCCCACATACACTTTTTTTAAATTAAATGAATACTATACTATGCTATGTGTCTGTAAGAGAGACGAGAGAGACAAAAACAGAGAATCTCCTAGGTCTGAACTCAGGTCCTGGGCACCATCTTGGAGCTTCTTTTGCTTAAGGAGAGTGCCTCGACCACGTGAGCCATGGCTCCACTTCAGGTTTTCTGGTGGTTCATTGGAGATCAGAGTCTCATGAGCTTTCCTGACTTTGAACCGCGATCCTCAGCTCTCAGCCTCCTGAGCAGCTGACAGGTGTGAGCCACAGGTGCCTGGCTGCTTTTTTTTTTTTTTTTTTTTTTAAAGATCAGCATCTCTCTTTGTAATTGGAATGTGCTGTCTGTCCTTGTCCTGTGGAAATCTTGCGAGGTCAGATGGCGACACGAGGCTGCCAGCGTTGTTTAAAGGCCCCAGCGCAACGCGCGTCCGGCTGCCACAAATCAGCAGACAGACCACAAAAATAAAGCGGGTGAGACCAACGCTGAGGGCGAGCGCCACACACACACACACACACACACACTCACACACACACACACACACACACACACTCACACACATTTGCAAAGTGCAGACTCGCAGTATTCTTTTGCATGGAGAAGTGCAATGCAGAATTGTGAACAACCATCTCAAACATGTATGGGTTCTCAGGCTCAGAGACAGAAACGACACAGCCGTGAAGGCGAGGGGCGGTGAACAGGGTAGCTCCTGACAGCACTGGCTGTGGGCACAGGGAGAAGTTTATATACCCAAAGAGAGAGACAAAAATGAATAGGAAAGAGAAGGAAGGAGAAAGGAAGAGAGAGAGAAAAATGGAAGGAGAAAGAAAAAAGGAAGGAAAGGAGAAAGGAAGAAAGAAGAGGAAATAAGGAAGAAGGGGTAAAAAAGGAAGAAATGAATGAACGGAGAAAGAGAAAGGAAGGAAAAAGAAAACAGGAAAGGAAGAAGGGAAAGAAGGAAAGAATCAATGGAGGAAAAAAAGCAATGAAGGAAAGAAAGAAAGGAGAAAGGAAGAAAGAAGAAGAAATAAGGGAGAAGGGGAAAGAAAAAGGAAGAAATGAATGAACGGAGAAAGGAAGGAAGGAAGGAAAAAGAAAAAAGGAAAGGAAGAAGGAAAGAATCAATGGAGGAAAAAAGCAATGAAGGAAGGAAAAGAGAGAAAGGAGGAAGAAATAGAGGAAGGAAGGAAGGAAGGAAGGAAGGAAGGAAGGAAGGAAGGAAGGAAGGAAGGAAGGAAGGAACAGCGCAAGGAAAGGAGGAACAGTGGAAAGGAAGAGCGAAGGGAAGGAGGAAACAGCGGGAGGCCAGCGAGCTGGCCCCGCCCATCGCCCCGCCCCTCCAATCAGAACGCGCGCGCTCTGCGCATGCTCGGAGAGCCATTTAAAGGTCCAGCCGCTGGGGCCTGGGAGGGAGAGGGCGGCGGGTGCCCGCGCCCCGGGGTTCGCCCGCCCGCCCGCCCGCCGCGGTCACCTTCCAGCGGCTTGACGATCTGCAGCTTCTCGGGCAGGAAGCAGCGGCTGCCGAAGGACATGGCGGAGCCGGCAGTGAGCGCGCCCAGCGAGGCCAGGCTCCCGGAGGGCGAGGGCGGCCCCTCGGCCAGCCGCCGCAGCTTCCGCTCCTGCTCCTCCTCGAAGAAGCGCCGCTCCGACAGCAGGTTCTCCCGCCGCAGCGACAGTCGCCGCAGCGCCGTCTCCAGGTCGTGCGAGCCCGGCGTGCCCGGCGTGCCCGGCTTCTTCCCGAGCTCTTCAGCCCTGCGTGAGGGGCGGGGCCGACGTGAGGGGCGGGGCCAGCTGCGGGGCGGGGCCTGCTGGCAGGGGGTGGGGTGAGGGGCGGAGTGGACAGGTGAGGGGCGTGGTCGGCGTGAGGGCGGGGCCAGCTGCGGGGCGGGGCCTGCTGGCAGGGGGTGGGGTGAGGGGCGGAGCGGACATGTGAGGGGCATGGTCAGCGTGAGGGGCGGGGCCGGCATGAGGGGCGGGGCGAGCCTGGCGTGAGGAGCGAGGCTGGTGTGAGGGGCGGAGCCGACAGGGGGAGGTGGCGGGGAGGGGCGGGGCCGGCGTGAGGGGCGGGACCACCAGGGGGAGGTAGTGAGGAGGGGCGTGGCCGACAGGGGGCGGGGCTACTGGTAGAAGGAGGAGTGGTGCTAGAATGAGGGGCATGACCACCAGGGGGCAGGATATGGCTGGTGGGCGTGGCCGGGGGCGTGGCCTGGTCGGCAGGGGGCGGCGTAGGAAGTGGCGTAGTGAGGTGGGTGTGGCCTGCAGAGAAGTGGCCAGTGGAGGGGGGCGGGACGAGGGGCGTGGCCAGTGTGGGGAGAGCCACTGGCAGCACTGGTGTGTATGTGGTGGTGTCGTGTGCATCTGCACGTGTATGTCGGTATGTGGTGTGTATGTGTTGCGTGCATTTGTGCATCTATGTCTATAGAGGTGCATCTACATATATGTGTGTGCATGTGTGTGTGCAGGTCTGTGTACGTGCATGTGTGTGCATATAGGTCTGTGTGTGACTGTACATGCCGGTGTCTATGCGTCTTGTGTGTATTGTGTGTCTCTGCGTGTGTGTGTGTGCGTGCCATGTATATTCATGTGTTGTGCATCCTGCATTCGGCTCAGTAACACAGCGGGGCTGGCCGGGGGGTGCTGGTGTGTGCCTGTGTATTTACCTGCGTGGTGTGTGCACGTGTGTGCCCGTGTGTGGAGGCTAGGGTGTAAGGATGGCGGGTGGAGGCTGGCCCGGCTCGCTCACCCCAGCTCGGCAGCCTCGGTCTCCAGGATGAGGCTGTTGGTCCTGTTGTCCAGCAGCACGTTGCCCACGTCGCTGCCGTAGAAGCTGGACCGCGGGGTGCTCACGCAGCTGGACAGCAGGGAGCTCATGGCGGAGGACTGGTTGGAGCCGGGGATGTTCATGGGGGACGGGGTGAGGGATCTCTGCTTCACCACCTGGTTCATGTTCCGCACCGCCTCAAACACGCGCTTCTGGTGGCTGCGGGGCACGGGAAAGCAGCCGGTGACCGGGGAGTCACAGCTGGGCGGGCGCCCGGCCGCGCAGGAGCAGGCTGAGATCTGGAGGATCGCAGTCCGAAGCCAACACGGCAGGAAAGTCTGTGAGACTCTTATCTCCCATGAACCAGCCAAAAGAACACAACAAAACTAAAATGGGCTTACAGTGGTAGAGCGCTACTAGCCTTGAACAGAAAAAGCTCAGGGACGGAGCCCCAGGCCCTGAGTTCGAGCCCAACGCTTCCTCCCACCAACCAGGGCACAAAAATAAATAAATGTCCTCTAGGACCAGTTCTGCGTTGCCCCTTGGGTGCTGAGGCCTTCATTCACAGTAGGAAATCAGAAACCAACCTCCACATTCTAATCTGCCCAACATTCTAATCTGCAGCGTTGTACTTAGGTGACATATTGTAGCCAGTGTGGTAGCTCACGCCTATAATCCCAGCTACTTGAGAGATAATAAGAGGAGGGTTGAAGTGTGAGACCAGCCCCATGTCTCAAAAAATAAAACATATATAAATAAAAAAGACAAGAGTAGCAGCACATGCCTGTAATCCCAGCTACCTGGGAAACAGAAATAGAAGGATTAGTTCTAGAAATAGTTCTAGGCTAGCCCTTCGACCAAAGTTGAGACTTTCAAAGGAAAAAAAAAATGGTCTAGGGGTGTGACTCAAGTGGTCCAGCACCTAGCCCTGTGGTACCTTAGTACCTGACAATAAATAAATGGGGACCAGGAAAAACAAATCACAGTTACAACAATTTGCTATGGGGCTGGAGCATGGGGATAAGGGACATATACTACTGCTAGCTTTGTGTGTGTGTGTGTGTGTGTGTGTGTGTGTCTGTGCACACCAGTCCTGGGCTTGAACTCAAGACCTAGGTGTTATCCCTGAGCTTTTGTGCTCAAGGCTGGTGCTCTACCATTTAACCCAACACCTCCACCTCTGGCTTTTGTTTTTTTACTGGTTCATTGGAGATAGAGTCTCTGGATTTTCCTCCCCACCCTCCCCCCAAACCCCCTCCAGGCCTGACCTCCAACCTTGATCCTCAGATCTCAGCCTCCTGAGTAGCTAGGATGGACAGGCTGCTTATCTTTCTGAAGTTGGGCTCACGGTCTCGAACTGTAGCACGACTCAAGGAGACTGAGATCCGGAGGATCGTGGTTCAAAGTCAGCCTGAGTGTTAACACCTGCCTATAGCTTTTGAACAACGCCCCCCCCCCCCCCCCCCCCCCGGCTCACTCTTGAGCCAGGTCTCTGGAAAGTTCAGAAGTCTTAGAAAACCCACGGGGCCCCTACGTGATATCCGGAGCGTCCGGGTCCTCGAGCTGCAGTTCCTTGCGCATGCTCCCCTCGATCTCGGCCGCCAGGGAGTCCTGGGGGGGGGGCAGAAAGCAACATATTGGTGAGCCCACCCAGAAGGACGTTCTGTCTGAAACAGGGGTGCAGGCGGCCGGGAGCGCCTCCCAAGCGGAAGCCTCGCACTTTTGCTTAGCTTTTTTCTTCTTTTTTTTTAGCTCTACCAATTCTGAACCACACCTCCACTTCTGGCTTTTCGCTGCTTCCTTGGAGATAAAAAGAAGTCTGGGGGGGGGGGGGGCAGGTTAGCTGAAGTCTGTCATCCCGGCTACTCAGGAGGCTGAGATCTGGAGATCGCCGTTCAAAGCCAGCCCGGGCAGGAAAGTCCGTGAGACTCTTATCTCCAATAAACCTCCAGAAATAAACCTCCAGAAAACTGGAAATGGTGCTGTGGCTCAACGTGGTAGAGCGCTGGGCTTTTGCCAAAAGGCCCTGAGTTCAAGCCCCACTATCAACGAATGAATGAATGAATGAGTGAATGAATGAATGAAAACTTGAAATGGCAATGGCCGAGGTCAGGAGGTCAAGGCGGGAGGAAGGATCTAGAAGGGAGGCTGGGCTCACCATCGGGAAGAGGCCCAGCGAGTGGTAGCGCCTGGATGTGGTGTTGGGCATGGTCTTGTTGCGCAGGTTCTTCAGCTCCTCCTGCGCTTCGTGGAGCATCTCCATGCACTCGGCATACTTGTCCTCCAGCTCCCGGAGCTGCGGGCAGGAAACACGCGCATGCCTGTGAGCAGCCAGGTGCACACGCCTCCCCTCCTCCGCACCCCCCACCCGTGAGAGCTCAGACATAGAGCGTTAGCCCTGAGTACAAGGGCTTGAACGGTAGAGCATTAGCACTGAGCACAAGGGCTTGAGCGGTAGAGCATTAGCTCTGAGCACCAATGTTCAGACGGTAGAGCGTTAGCTCTAAGCATAAGGGCTTGAGCAGTAGAGTGTTAGCCCTGAGCACCACGGCTTAGACGGTAGAGCACTAGCTCTGAGCACAAGGGCTTGCGTGGTAGAGCATTAGCTCTCAGCAGCAAGGCTCAGACGGTAGAGCATTAGCTCTGAGCACAAGGGCTTGAGCGGTAGAACATTAGCTCTGAGCACAAGGGCTTGAGCGGTAGAGTGTTAGCCCTGAGCACCAAGGCTTAGACGGTAGAGCATTAGCTCTGAGCACAAGGGCTTGCGCAGTAGAGCGTTAGCTTTGAGCACCAAGGCTCGTGCAGTAGAGCGTTAGCCCTGAGCACAAGAAACTCAGAAGAGACCTTGGGATGGATCACATTCAGGGCCTATCTGGGGGGCTGGGGCCGACCCCCCATCCCCGGTCTGAGGCCCCGATGACACAGGGCTGGAGCATGTACCTCGGCTGTAAGCTGACGCTGGGCATCTTTGGCGGCCCCCAGGTGCTGGACCAACTCCTCATTTTCCACGGCACACTGGACTCAGCAAAGACAAGGCGTGTTCGTGGGTAAGGTGCTGTGGCCTCTGGTGGCTGGGGACCCTGTGGACCCATTGCCCTTCCCCCACCAAACGTGGGCCTGAGCCCACAGGAAGTGTGCACCCCCCACCCTTCTGTGGGTGCAGAGTCTTTCTATTTCTTCTCCTCCTCATCCCTCCTTTCCTGTGTTTCCTCATTCCCCTAGGATCCAGAGGATCGAGGTCCTGAGCCCTCATCCATTCTGCTGCTCTAGCAGTTCCTTGCATTTTCGACCTCACCAGCTTCTTCCCCCTGAACCCCAGAGCTTTCCTGCCACCCCAAAGCCTTCCCTCGGGTCATCCGCCCATCATCCCAGCCACTCAGGAGGCTGAGATCTGGAGGATCGTGGTTCTAAGCCAGCCCAGGGAACCAAGAAAAGTCCGTGAGACTCTGATCTCCCATGAGCCACCAGAAAACCAGAAGTGGGGCCATATATGGCTCAAAATGGTAGAGCACCAGCCTTGAGTGAAAAGCAGCTCAGGGACAGCGCCCAGGCCTTGAGTTCAAGCCCCCCACGACCGACAAACAAAACAAGAAGCAAACAAAGCGGTTACTGCTTTGGCCTTCTTCTGCAAGTCCACGATCTGGGAGAGCAGGTGCGTGATCTCCTCCTGCTGGCGGGCGGCGTCTTCCGTCTTCTTGGCCAGTTCCTCTGAGATGCTGGCGATCTGCACGTTTGCATCTCCTGGGACCAGAGAGGGAGAAAAACAAATCACAGGAGGGGCTGAGTTACAGGGAAAAGTGCACCAAGTGAGTGAAAAAGGATTTGCTCTACCACTTGAGCCACAGCGCCACTTCTGGTTTTCTGGTGGCTCCTGGGAGAGAAGAGTCTCACGGACTCTCCTGCCCAGCCTTGGCTTTGAACCGCGATCCTCTCGATCTCAGCCTCCCAAGTAGCTGGGATGACAGGCAAGAGCCACCAGCGCCTGGCGATTTTTTACACATTGTTAACAAGCTGGGCTTTTTCTTATCTCTGAGCCTCGAGTAGACATGAAATCATCCCCATATTCCAATACAAAGCCAAAGTGGAAATCCTCTATCAATCTCAAGGAGAAAGGCTGATCAAGACAAGGGGGAAGCCGGGCGCCCACAGCTCACGCCTGTCATCCTAGCTATTCAGGAGGCTGAGATATGGAGGATTGCGGTTCGAGACCAGCCCGAGCAGGAAGATCTGTGAGACTCTCATCTCTAATGAAGCACCAGAAAATGAAGTGGCGCTGTGGCTCATAGTGGTAGAGCCCTTGCCTTGAACACAAAACCTTAGGGACAGTGCTCAGGTCATGAGTTCAAGTCCCATGACCAACCCAAAAAGAAAAAAGAGAGAAAAGAGGGAAAGATGTCTCACAGGGTCAGGAGAAGCTTCTAGATCTAAAAAGACCACAGGCGGGCAAGGATGATGTTGGTGAAATTTAAAGCCAGGGCAGGCGGGGAATTCCGAGAGACAGTTTTATCTCCAGTAAAACAGCAAAAAAAAAAGAGCCAGAAGCGGAGGCGTGGCTCAAGGGGTAGCGCACCATCAGCCCCAAAATAAACAGAACAAAAGGAGGGTGCTGGGGGCCAGGGGGTCCACAGATACGCACTCAGCTCCTTCACGCAGTCGCTGACCAGCTGCTGCTCCTTCTCTTCGTAGGTGATGGTCTCTGTCTTCAGCTGGCAGGCCTGGGGAGGGGAGGGGGGAAGGGGAGGGAGAATGGGGGGGGGGGGGTGAGGGCTACAGCATGGGCCAGGGCCCACACCTCCGGCCAGGGCCTGAGGAGCTGCCCGCCAACCAACCCTTGTGAACACGCTCAAATGTACAAAAGCGCCGCTCGCTCCCTTCCCCGGCCACCAGGGGGCGACACGCGGGACCAAGGAAATAGGAGTGTTGACGGCTGATTTTCCTCCCTGTCTGTCTCGCCCGGCTCACAGTATGCCCGTGGTGTGGTGGCACCGAGGAGCCTGCCCGGCCCAGGGGGGCTGAAGCCGGGTAAGCAAGGCCAGTCGTGTGATCATATGAGCTAGCTAGTGTTAACTGTGCAACTACTACATGCCAGGCGATACAAGACGCCATATATATATGGTTTATATGCCTACATTCATAACATATATGGTATTTCTACTTTACGTCTTTACGTTTACATATTTTATGTATTATATATAATTATACGTACTGACAATGTCTTACCTGTGGTGAAATAACCACAAGTTATTTATATAGATGATGTATATCTTTGTTTATATATGAGAAGTATTTACATTTTAGGTATTTACATTTAGCTACTTTATACATTTATGAAATGGTATAAAATATTTCACCTGTGGTCAAAGGACCCCAGGTTATCTACGTATATTTGCAACCTATATTTACATTTTGTGTGTTTGCGCTTATGTAGCTTATAGAATAATATATATATTTCACCTATACTGAGGTAAGCGCAGGTGATTTGTATAGATGACGTCTAAAGCGGGGCGCCGGTGGCTCCCGCCCGTCATCCAGCTACCGAGGAGGCTGAGATTTGAGGATCGTGGCTCAGAGCCAGCCTGCGCAGGCAGGAGAGTCTGTGATTGGGGGGGGGGGGGGGGGGGCACCGCACCTCAGATCGGAGGACTACATTCTCTTCTTCCAGATCTTTCAGCTTCTTCTGCAGCGAGTCTAGGTGGAAGTAGTTCTGCACGGAGGATGAGGACTCGTTCCTCTTCAGCCTGCGGGGGGAAGATGGCCGCGTGTGAGGGAGGGGCCGTGGGCATGGGTTTGGGGTTTTTTTTTTTCCCTCCAGACCCGTGGTCGCCTTGTAGGGACACCCGGGATTAAAGCATAGAATGTTCCAGAAGCTTAGTGGAGTGGATGGCTTTTGTTTCATATTAAATCATGTATGTTAGTGGGGCTGGGAAGGTGGCGGCCCTGGGTTCAAGTCCTCAGGACCACATCCACAGAAAAAGCTGGAAGTGGCGCTGTGGCTCAAGGGGTAGAGTGCTAGCCTTGAGCAAAAGCAGCTCAGGGACAGCGCTCAGGCCCTGAGTTCAAGCCCCAGGACTGATTAAAATATAATAATATATTTGATTATTTTAGACTAAATAATTTATTATTTCATGTGTGCAGTATAATCAATTAGTATTGTTCTGAATTAGTTACAACTACATTGTGTTCTAATTGTAATATAATAACAACATAATTATGATACTTACAACTGTATAATAACATGCTAAAAATTATGGTTTTTTTTTTCTTTTTTTTTGGGGGGGGGGGTCCGGTCGTGGGGCCTGAACTCTGGGCCTGGGCGCTGTCCCTCAGCTCTTCAGCTCAAGGCTAGCACTCTACCACTTGAGCCACAGCGCCACTTCCGGCTTTTTTCTTTTTGCTTATGTGGTGCTGAGGAATTGAACCCAGGGCCTCATGCTTGCAAGGCAAACGCTCTACCACTGAGCCACCTTCCCAGCCCCAAAATAATGTAGATTATATGTGTTAATTACTCTTGTTTTAATGTAGTTACTACCAGTTACTATTGCTACAATATAATGCAATATAAATATATTATAATTATGTAGTAACATACTTACTATTTTTTTTTTTTTTGGGTCCAGTCATGGGGCCTGAACTCTGGGCCTGGGCGCTGTCCCTCAGCTCTTCACCTCAAGGCTAGCACTCTACCTCTTGAGCCACAGCACCACTTCTGGCTTTTTTCTTTTTGCTTATGTGGTGCTGAGGAATCGAACCCAGGGCCTCTGGCATGCAAGGCAAGCGCTCTACCACTGAGCCAACTTCCCAGCCCCGTAACATACTTACTATTATTGCAATATGAAACATAATACAATGCAAATATAACTTATTATATGTTTGTATTATATAATATGACATATAGTTTATTATATCTATAATCATATAATTACTATTATTGATTGCCATTATTGCTATATAATTCAAATACAATATAAATATACTATGTAATTGATAGTATATTACAATTATTCCTACTTATTATTATATAATAATTACTGTGTTCATTACTATTATTATTCCATGAAAACATTATTACTGCTATTGTTATCTTGTGTGTGTGAGTGTGTGTGAGTGTGTGTGTGAGTGAGTGTGTGTGTGTGAGTGTGTGTGAGTGTGAGTGTGTGTGTGTGTGTGTGTGCAGATATTGGACAACAACCTTAGCTTTGTCACTCAAGGCTGGTGCTCCGTCTCTTGAGCTGTCATCCTAGTTGACTAAGGAGGCTGAGATCCAGAGGATCACGGTTCAAAGCCAGCCCGAGCAGGAAAGCCCGAGAGACTCTGATCTCCAATGAACCACCAGAAAACCGGAAGTGGCGCTGTGGCTCAAGTGGTAGAGCGCTAGCCTTGAGCTGAAGAGCTGAGGGACAGCGCCCAGGCCCAGAGTTCACACACATGCACGCGCGCACGCGCGCGCACACACACACACACACACACACACACACACACGGCGGAGGGAGAGCCGCCCCCGAGGGCCAGGCTCTGACAGTCCCATTGCCATGCTGGGTCTGTGGTGTTGGGGATCCGGCCCGGGACACACTGCACCCCACCCAGCGCCGGGGCCCCGGGCGCTCACGGCGTGGAGCACACGGACTCGGGCTCGCTCTCCTCGGCCGCGCTGGTGTAGAACTGCAGCAACTCGTCCTTCATGGACAGCTCGTGGCGGAGCTGGGATACCTGTGCGGAGACACGGGGCAGGTCGAGGGTGTGTGTGAGTGTGTCCTGGGGCTTGAACTCGGGGCCTGAAGGCTGAGGTTCTTCACTCGAAGCTGGTGCTCTACCACTTGAACCACGCTGCCACTCCCAGCTGGCTTTTTGTGTTGGTTAAGTGGAGATCAACAGTCTCACAGACTTTCCTGCCCGGGGCTGGCTTTGAACCACGATCCTCCGGATCTCAGCCTCCTGAGTAGCCGGGATGACAGGGGTGAGCCAGCCACTTGGCCCCCAGGTAGTCTGGCTGAGCATGGAGGGTGTGGTTGGAGTCTGGATTGAGGGCAGAGGGCTGTGCCCGCCTCCTCCCTGCCCCCTCCCCCCCAAATCCTCCCCCCCCCCCCCCGCCCCCCCCACCCTCACCTCCTCTCGGATGTGCTCCACCTGCTCCTCCAGCAGCTCATTTCTCTCCGTCAGCGTCTTGTTCTTCTTCAGCAATGACTGGCCGATCCGCGCCGCCAGCTCCAGGTCCCGCTCTTTCTGCGGAAGGAGCAGGGGAGAAGCTGGGGCCCAAGACCGACCGACTTGACCAACCCGCCAAAAGCCCGGTGCAGAATGCACGCCAGGGCTCACGCCTGCCGTCCCAGCCGCGCAGGAGGCTGAGATCCGGAGGATCGCGGTTCAAAGCCAGCCCCGGGCAGGAAAGCCTAAGACTGCTATCTAAGCAGCAAAAAAACAACAAAAACAACACTTCAAGTGGAGCTGTGACTCAAGTGACAGGGGCCTTTTGGGGGGGAGGGATAAGGTGCAGGGGAGCCAAGCAAGAGTTTAAGCCCAGTACCCACAGAGATAGACAGACAGACACACAGACAGACACAGATAGACAAGCAGATAGGTAGGCAGACAGATACATATGTACATACATACATATATACATACACAGATTCAGACAGACACACAGGCAGACAGATACACAGACAGAAATATATACATACATACACAGACACAGATAGGCAGACAGGCAGATAGATATATAGACAGGCAGACAGACAGAGAGACAGATAAATACATACATATATACATACAGTCAGACACAGACTGACAGGCAGATAGATAGATAGACAGATGGATGGACAGATGGACAGACAGACAGATAGATAGGTAGATAGGTAGGTAGGTAGGTAGATAGATAGACAGACAGACAGACAGACAGATAGCTGAATGGATGGATGGATAGATGGATAGATAGATAGACAGACAGACGGATGGACAGACAGACAGATAGATAGGTAGATAGGTAGGTAGGTAGGTAGATAGATAGATAGACAGACAGACAGACAGATAGACAGACAGACAGATAGCTGAATGGATGGATGGATAGATGGATAGATAGATAGACAGACAGACAGACAGCTGTATGGATGGATGGATATAGATAGATAGATAGACAGACAGACAGACAGATAGCAGACAGGAAAGGAAAAGAGAGAGAAAGAGGGAGGATAGGAGGGAGGGAGGGAAGGAAGGAAGGAAGAAAGGAGGGAGGGGGGAGGGAAGGAAGAAAAGAAGGCAGGAAGGAAGGCAGGAAGGAAGGGAGGGAGGGAGGGAGGGGAGGCAGGGGAAGGAGGGAGGGGGGAGGGAGGGAAACCCCCTGGGCAGGGTGCACTGTTTCCAACAGCAACCAGGAAGGAAGAGGCATTCACGAATGGTGTGGGTCCTAGGAAATAAGGTTATCAGACTGGTCCTTTCCTTCCTGGGGAAACTGAGGCAAGCACAGGACAGGACCAGCACGCCCCCTCCCTCCCTCTGGGCTGGCTTGAGCCAGCCCGGCCCTGTTCACCGGGGAGCTTGACTTGGCACCGCCACGCCACGCCACAAGCCGACTGACTCATTCTCCCCAGCACCCAACCGTGACTCAGGCCCCGCGGGAGGGAGGGGGGAGGGGGGGAAGCCCTGTCGTAAAAGAGGGGGTGGTGGCGGACTCCACCAGCCACAACAAAGCAGAGGGAACCCTCCTTCAAACTCACACCCAAGCCGAGTGCGGTGGCTCCCTCCTGTCATCCCTGCCACTTGGAGAGGCTGGGATCTGGAGGTCCGTGGTTGGAGGCCTGGGCTGGGAATGTCACCCCCCCACCCCTTCCCATGAGACTCTTCTCTCCCACAAAGCACCCAGAAAAACCAATAATGGCGCTGTGGCTCAAAGTGGTAGAGCGCTACCCTTGAGGAAAAAAAGCAGCTCCCAGGCCCTGAGTTCAAGTTCCAGGACTGGCAAAGAAAAAAGAATTCACTGGAAGAAAGCCAGGCTCTAGAGGCTCATGCCTGCCATCCCAGCTACTCAGGAGGCTGGGATCTGAGGATCATGGTTCAAAGCCAGCCTGGGCAGGAAAGTCTGTGAGACCCTCATTTCCAAGGAACCACCAGAAAGCTGGAAGTGGCGCTGTGGCACCAGCCTTGAGCAAAAGAAGCTCAGAGGCCACGCCCAGGCCCTGAGTTCAAGTCCTGGAACTGTCACCAAAAAAAAAAAGGGTTTAGGGAAATTTCTTTGGATTTTTTTAAATGTATTTGCTGTGTGACTACCAAAACTCTGCATAATAATAAAAAAAAAAAAATCCGTGACTAAAGGCAGACCCTCCTGGACTGGGGCAACAGGAACTGACCATCATCAATGACAGACAGCTCCGTCCAGGGCTCACCTCCTCGAGAAGCCGTGTGACCGCATCTAAGTCGCTGTATGTTTTAGTCATCTGGCCAACTCTCTCAGCACATAAAACTACGAGAAACAGGGGGGGGAAAAAAATCCAGTGAGATCCCAGGCACCCCAAAACCTATCAGCCGAAACATCATGTCCAGCCGGGCGCCGGTGGCTCACACCCATCATCCTTGCTCCTCCTGGGGAGGCCGAGATCTAGAGGATCGTGGTTCATGAGCCAGCCTGGGTAGGTGTGTGTGTGTGTGTGTGTGTGTGTGTGTGCTGTGTGTGTGTGGGGGGGAGACAATGGAGTCAAATTCAAATGAGACCAGAGGGAGGGAGCCGAAGATTGGCTCTCCCCCTGACAGCGCGGACAGGTGCTTCCCTTTGCCAGCCAATCACATGACACTTATGCAAATGAAGCCACGCCCCCCAGGTCACTGTGAGAATAAATACTGGCCAACCCAGCCGGATACACACAAGTCTGCTTGCCTCTAATGTGCGTGGCCAATGGGGCTCGGGGTGGTGGGTTCTGGGGGCACGCGACATACACACCACCGCCCCCAGGGAGAACCTGTTTCACTCTATGGCAGGAGGCTGGGAGGAAAGGCTCCTCATTTGAAGCCAGCCTGGGCAGACAAAAGGCGAGAGACTCATCCTCCAGGGAGCTAGCAAGAAAACAACACAACACAAAACAAAAAAGGGAGGGGAGGTGATGGTGGAGCCAGCAGCTGGAGGGGAAAATCGGAAGGAGAGGTACCCAAGCCGTAGGTTCAAGCCCCAGGACCGGTCCATACACATACACACAAAGGGTAGCTCAGGCCTGTCATCCTAGCTACTCAGGAGGCTGAGATCTGGAGGATCGCAGTTGGAGGCCAGACAGGGCAGGAAAGTCCGTGAGACATGCCTCTCCAATGAACCGGAAGTGGCGCCATATATATATGGCTCAAAGTGGTAAGAGCGCTATCTCAGGACCCACTTAAAGAAAAAAAAAGGGCCTGGAAGGGTGGAAGGAATGTGGAAGGCGGGACCAAGGCTGGGTGTGTGTTTACAACGGGGCTCTCTGGACAAGGTCACCGTAGCCATGTCTCCGGGGTTCTGTTTGCAAAACTGGAATAATATTTACCCGCAGCTCCGTTTGCACGATGAAGCAGGTGACCTTTGAAAGCGCTCAGCAGTCTCGACCGCACCTCCAGAGCACCCCAACATTTGCTATTTGTCATGTTTGTATTCTATGCCAGTCCTGGGGCTGCAACTCGGGGACTGAGCTCTGTCCCTGAGCTTTGTCACTCACGGCTGATGCTCTACCACTTGAGCCACAGCTCCACTCCTGCTTTTCTTTTTTGGTGGTTTACTGGAGATCAGAGTCTCATGGACTTTCCTGCCCGGGGCCTGGTCTGGAACCCTGATCCTCAGATCTCAGCCTCTTGAGTAGTTAGGATACACAGACATGAGCCAGCAGCGCCCACAGCCAGTCTAGAATGTTCTACCAAAAGCACCAGGCTGAAACACACTGTGACCAGGAACAATGACATCCCGCCCGACATGGTTTTGGTTTTGGTTTTTGAGGATCACAGTTGTCACCCTGAAACTCAAAATTCTTCCTTATCTCCTAGACATCTAGCACATTCTTTCAGGAGCCCTGGGCAAACCTCAAATGTTAGTTTTTGTTGCACAAAGGAAACAAATAACGTTGATCATGAATTGGGTTTTTTTTTTTCTTCCCCTTTGAGGTTAGTGCCAGGGAGAAAATAAATAGATAATAATAATAATAATAATAATACAGGTAGCCATCTTCCACCTCCAGAGCAGAGATCTGATCTAGGAAAGCAGGAAGATGGGTGGGAGGAAGGAAGGGAGTGGAACTAGCACCCCAAAAAAATGTCCCCTTTCCATCTTGAATTCTAGACAAGCCAGAGACCCTGGTCTCTTGAGACATGCCAACGAAATAGCCCAGAGGTGGTTGCCAAACCCAGATAATTGGATCCCAACACCCCCAAAATTTCTGACCCAGTTAGGTGAGGGGTTAAGTCTCCAAAATAACTGGGGGGGGGGTTATTTTCCTAAGGTTTTTTTCTTTTTGGTCGGTGGTAGGGTTTGAACTCTGGGCCTGGGCGCTGTCCCTCAGCTCTTCAGCTCAAGGCGAGCGCTCTACCACTTGAGCCTCGGCGCCATTTCCAGTTTTCTGGTGGTTCACTGGAGATCAGGATCTTGTAAACTTCCCTGCCTGGGTTGGCCTCGAACTGTAATCCTCTGAATCTCAGCCTCCTGAGTAGCTAGGATGACAGGCAGGAGCCACAGGCTTCCCATTAATTAGTTTTACTGAGTGTTTCTGAAAGGGAGGTGTTAGCATTATTTCTCAGGCCTACAACATCAACAAGAAGAAGAAGAAACACACACACACACACACACACACACACACACACACTTGATTATGGCCAGGTCATAAATAATTCTAGCAAGGAAGGGGACCTGAGCCAGGAAGATAAGCGCTCTTAAAGCAGTGCTTCTGATAAGATGATTCAGACTATTTTCACCTGAAGGACCTCCACCCTCCCCCTCCCCCACCCCCCCCCTCCCTGCCCAAGGTCATTAGCATAGGATCACCTTCCTGGTTCCCCCAAAACCTTTTTTCTCAGTGTTAAGAGGGAGGGAGGGAAGAAAGCCCAGGGAGCCAGTGGCTCACACCTGTCATCCTAGCCAATCAGGAGGCTGAGATCTGGAGGATCCTGGTTTGAGGCCAGGCCCGGGCAGGAAAGTCCATGAGACTCTTCAATCAACTAGCAGAAAACCAGAAGTGGCACTGTGGCTCAGTGGTAGAGTGCTCACCTAGCATGCATGAACCCCTGGGTTCAATGACTCAGTACCACATACACAGAAAGAGTCAGAAGTGAAGCTGTGGCTCAAGTGGTAGAGCACCCACTCCACCCCTAGCCTTGAGCAAAAACAAAACAATCACAACAAGAAAAAAAAGAGTACAGTCACTCAGGAGGCCATACCAGTCAAGCCTGTTCAGAGACCAGAAGGACAAAGAAAACATAAAGAAAGAAATGTAAAAGTCAAATAGGAAGTGGTACTGGGGCTCAAGTGGTAGAGCAGCGCCCAGGCCCTGAGTTCAAGTCCCAGGACTGGCAAAAAAGAAAAAGAACATTACTGATTTTATAATTACATCAAATAGAGTTCTATAAAGTAAAATGCTCATAAATATGGTCATATAAAATAAGACATAATTATGCAAAATAAAATATGCATAAAATATATCACCATATAAAATGAAAATGGTTATCTACAAAAACATGAAATATAGCTAAATAAAATGAAGCCGTCATCTAAAATAAAATACACATAAAACAGCTATCTGAAATAAAATAGACAATATAGTTATACGAATGTTAAAGAGCATGTAATGCAAAACATCATGAAATACCAAAAACACACACAGCTATGTAAAGTAAGCGACACAGAGCTGCCTCAAACAGGATCTCTGGCTGCATAAAGAAAATACCCTCCTCCTCCAGGACGCCCAGGCGCAGGCTGCTCGGCTCTTCCTCCTCCTCCTCCTCCTCCTCCTCCTCCTCCTTCTCGTAGGACTCGGGTTCGAAGCTCACCCCCCGCGTCAGGGACATGGCTCCGGCCAGCGGCCCTGCACCTGACACACTGGGCTTAAGGGGCCATTCTTGGGGGTGGCCCTGGCCACTTATCCCGGAGGGGCCATGAGGGGCTGGCAGTCTGGCCCTGCCGGGCCGGAGCCTCTGGAGGGTGTGTGCGGGCCAGCAGCGCCCAGGGCACCGGGCCGGGGGGCGTGGCCCCGCAGGGAGCCGGGGGCGGGGCCGGCTGTGGTCTCCTGCGGACCTGGGCGGGGGGCGTGGCCCTGGAGCCGGGCCGGGCGCCTGCTGTGGTCTGGGGACTTGGGCGGGGGCGTGGCCCCGGAGCCGGGGGCGGGGCCAGGCGCCTGCTGTGGTCTGGGGACCTGGGCGGGGGGCGTGGCCCCGGAGCCAGGGGCGGGGCCGGGCTCCAGCTGTGGTCTGGGGAACTGGGCGGGGGGCGTGGCCCCGGAGGGAGCCAGGGGCGGGGCCGGGTGCCTGCTGTGGTCTGGGGACCTGGGCGGGGGGCGTGGCCCCGGAGGGAGCCAGGGGCGGGGCCGGTGCCTGCTGTGGTCTGGGGACCTGGGAAGGGGGTGTGGCCCCGGAGGGAGCCGGGGGTGGGGTGAGGCGACTGCTGGGGTCTCCTGGGGACCAGGAAGGGGCGTGGCTCCGGAGCCGGGGGCGGGCGCCTGCTGTGGTCTGGGGACCTGGGCGGGGGGCGTGGCCCCAGAGGGGGGGACCAGGCACCTGCTGTCTCTAGAGGACCTGGGCGGGGGGCGTGGCCCCGGAGGGAGCTGGGGGCGGGGCCGGGCGCCTGCTGTGGTCTGGGGACCTGGGCGGGGGACGTGGCCCCGAAGGGAGCCGGGGGTGGGGCCAGGCGCCTGCTGTGGTCTGGGAACCTGGGCCAGGGGCGTGGCCCCGGAGCCGGAGGCGGGGCCGGGCGCCTGCTGTGGTCTGGGGACCTGGGCGGGGGGCGTGGCCCCGGAGGGAGCCGGGGGCGGGGCCAGGCGCCTGCTGTGGTCTGGGGACCTGGGCGGGGGGCGTGGCTCGGGGCCGGGGGTGGGGCCGGGCGCCTGCTGTCTCTAGAGGACCTGGGCGGGGGGCGTGGCCCCGGAGGCGGGGCCGGGCGCCTGCTGTGGTCTGGGGACCTGGGCGGGGGGCGTGGCCCCGGAGCCGGAGGCGGGGCCGGGCGCCTGCTGTGGTCTGGGGACCTGGGCGGGGGGCGTGGCCCTGGAGCCGGGGGCGGGGCCAGGCGCCAGCTGTGGTCTGGGGACCTGGGCGGGGGGCGTAGCTCGGGGCCGGGGGCGGGGCCAGGCGCCTGCTGTGGTCTGGGGACCTGGGCGGGGGGCGTGGCCCCGGAGGGAGCCGGGGGCGGGGCCAGGCGCCTGCTGTGGTCTGGGGACCTGGGCGGGGGCGCGGCCCCGTTGCCGGGGGCGGGGCCGGGCGTCTGCTGCCCTGTCCAGGCAGTCAGCCCGGTCTCCCCACGCCTTCCCCGGCCCAGGGCCCCCGCAATGGGAGCGGCCGGCCAGTGTCCTAGCAACTGCACAGGGAAAACACCCCAGCCCAGACGCCCGGGCAGGCATACCGGGTGAACTATTAAACCAAGGACTTCAGATGTCCCGGGGCTGGGCGGGGGAGGGGTGGCGGGAGCCTGCTGGGGGCTGACACCCATCACCCCAGCGACTCAGGAGGCGGAGATCCTGAGGATCGCAGTTCGAGGCCAGCCCGGTTAGGAAAAAATAAAAATCCAGAGCATCATTTGCTCAAGGCCATTGCTCTACCACCCGAGCCACGGCGCCACTTCTGCTTTTCTGGTGGTTCACTGGAGATCGGAGTCTCACAGGGGACTTCCTGCCCCGGGCTGGCTTTGAACCGCGATCCTCCGGATCTCAGCCTCCTGAGTGGCTGGGATGACAGACAGGCGGGAGGCCCCAGAGTCCAGCCAGTTTATTCTAGTGAAGTCCAGCCCCAGCCATGTCCCCTGCCCTCTGTCCTCAAAGACACGTTTCTGCTCAACAAGCATCCGGAAGGTGACGAGTCAATATTGAGTGATCCTGCACTTTCCTCCTTGCCCTTGGAAAAGGAGAGAGCCCAGGAGGCCCCAGGGCCCAGGACTCCACTGAAAACTGCAGGGGAAGACTCCGGGGTGGACACCTGGGGACCATCGATCGGACCTCATCTCAACCTCCACACCCAGCACTGCAGCAGCCAACTGTAGTTCACAGTGCTCAAGAGCCGGACAGGACAGCGGTGAGGTGGAGCTACATTGCAGCTGGGCGCCCTCGGGTCAGCCACTCAGGGAGCTGAGGATCACAGTTCAAAGCCAGCCGGGGCAGGAAAGTCTGTGAGACTCTGATTTCCAATGAACTACTCAGAAAAAAGCCAGAAGTGGCAGTGTGGATCAAGTGGTAGAGCGCCAGCCTTGAACAACAAGAAGCTCAGGGCCAGCGCCAAGGCCCTGAGTTCGAGCCCCAGGACTGACCAACCAACACACACACACACACACACACACACACACACACACAAAGGGTTATTTTGGCCACGTGCCGGTGGCTCACGCCTGTCATCCTAGCTATGCAAGAGGCTGAGATCTGAGGATGCGGTTCAAAGCCAGCCCCAGGCAGGAAAGTCCACGAGACTCTTTAGGATCCACCAGAAAACCATAAGTGGTGCCATGGCTCACAGAGCTCAGGGGCAGCGCCCAGGCCCCGAGTTCAAGACCCAGGTCAGTCAATAAAATATTTCCAAAAGAACAGTTTTTCCAAAGACCCTGGCAGCCTTCCACCATCAACACTGTTCACGACCTCCAAGGACGCACCCAGAGCAGATCCATGCGTGACCACGTCCCCCGTGTAACACGGCGGGAGCCTGGTGGCACTTTGTGGGGTGTACAGTGGGTACCCCAGGCCCTGCAGACTGCCTCTTGGCTGAACCCCACAATCGGAGTGAGCATAGACCGACAGAAGAGTGACTTGGGCAAGCTTCTAGTGCATTCCATCACCCAGGCCAACCAGGGCGATCGCCAGCTCCCTGTTCAGTTCAAAAAGCAGATCCACAGCCCGGGGCCCACGGATGGCCACGGGCAGCCACAGACACTGCTGGCCATCCTTGCTGCGTGCACAGCCGCTGCTCCCTGTACACTGATGACGGACCACGTGTGACACGCGCTTCACAGACTGTGTGCGCTACAGTGCATAGCACACGACCATGTGATACATCCCACGGCGCCGCCCAGGAGCCAGAAACCGCGCATCCACTGTGTGTAAACCCTGCGTATATTATATATGTGTATATTATAATCACACACATTGTATACGACCCTTGAACCAGAAGCCTGACATATATTACATCTAAACCTTGTATATATTATATACGTAATGTATACATCACATATATATGTAATACAACCAATATATGGCATATAAGTGTAATATATGTAACATATATGCAACATAGAACACGTAGCATGTAATATATACTGTCCAGCTGGGCGCCAGTGGCTCACCCCTATCATCCTAGCTACTCTGGAGGCTGAGATCTAGAGGATCATGGTTCAAAGCCAGCCTAGTTAGGAAAGTCCGTGAGACTGAACTCCAAGGAACCACCAGAAAACCGGAAGTGGCGCTGTGACTCAAGTGGGTAGAGCGGCTCGCCTTGAGCTGAAGCGCTGAGGGACAGTGCCCAGGTCCTGAGTTCAAGCCCCACGACCCACCTCAAGAAAAAAATATATATATGTATATTATTATACACTTTACTACACACAATAGATAGAATATGTACAGTATGGCGTACTCTGCAAATGTAGTAATACGTGACACATTACATAGCATATATTACATATATATACACAAGGTAGAATATGTAACAGCTAGACTGCGTGTGATTATGTATGTACTAGTGCGCATAGTGGGATAGCACGCGATACACATACCACCGAACACATGCGATCGGGAGTGTACGTTGTGCACATCGCAATGCCTAGTGATTCGATGTGTTCTATATGCAAAATGCAGCACGTACAGTATGGGTGTGAGTGTGCATATGTGCTGGCATTAACATATACTATCACACCCGCACGCGCACGCACCCGGCTTCCGACCCAGGGGGGGGGCGGTGAGACCACAGGCCTGCCCTGCGTCCCGGGCCCCGCCCCTCCCCAGGCCCCGCCCTGCGTCCCAGGCCCCGCCCCCAGGCCTGCCCGGCCCCGCCCCCAGGCCCGCCCCACCCCGCCTGTGCCCCGCCCTGCCCCCGCCCCCGGGCCCCAGGCCCCGCCCTGTCCCCGCCCCCAGGCTCCAGGCCCCGCCCCGGGCCCCACCCCCAGGCCCCGGGCCCGCCCCCCTCCCCAGGCCCCGCCCCACCCCGCCCCGCTGCAGGGCGATGGGGGCCGTGCGGGCGCCGGGGCCTGCTGCTGGCACCCCGCACCCCGCACCCCGCACCCGCCCCGGCGCGGCGTGCCCGCGCTCCCGCCCCACGCAGCCCCCCTCCCCGGGGGAGCAGCACGGGCCCGGCCCTCACCGTCGGAACACTCCTCATAGTACCAGTCCAGCTCGTAGTAGTCCGCCTCGATGAATTTCTGCATAGTCAGGACGGGCGGACGGAGATGCAGAGGCATCAGAAATGAGAAGACCGGGGCGGTGGGGGGGGGGGGAGGTGGGGGGAGAGCGCAAGCGCGAGCCGGGTCAGCGCGCCGCCCGCCCGGCCCGGCCCGGCTCCTCCCCCGGCAGCGGCGCAGCGGCTCGGCAGCCCCCGGGGCGCGCGCGCGCGCACGCGCAGAGCCGCCCGGACCCCAGCCCGACCCCCGGCCCGGCCTGGGAAGCGCCAGCCAGCCAGCCAGCGAGCCAGCGGCCGGCAGGGCCCCGGGGCGGTGGGCGTGGCCAGGCCCGGCCAATCGGCGGGCCGGGAGGGGTGACGTCAGAGACACACACCACCGCTGGCTGCGGAGCCGGGGCTCCGCCCCCGCGCTCTGCTCCGCCCCCCGCGCTCTGCCCCGCCCCCGCGCTCTGCCCCGCCCAGTTGTCAATCTTACTGTCGCCGTGGCAACCGGCTGGGCTCCAGGCTGGTGGGGGGGGCGGGAGGAAGGATGCGGAGATGCGAATGAGGTGTGCGGGGAGGTAGGGGGAGAAGATGGGGTGCGGGTGGATGGAGGACCGGGGAAGGAGGAGGAGGGGGAGGAGGAGGGACCCCCCACACACACTGGAGCAGTGGGCCCAACTTTTGTGGGGGGGAGGAGGGGTAACAGGATGTTAGCTTTCTGCCCTTCCACCCTGGGAAGGGTGGTAGCCTTCTGGAACATTCGGGAATGGCTGACCCTCCCTCTGTCCTTTTCCCATCGACTAGATAAAAATAAGAAGCCCAGGCAGGGGCCCAGGGGGGCTCACGCCTGCCATCCCAGCTTCCTCAGGAGGCTGAGATCCGGAGGATCGCGGTTCCAAGCCCCCTGTGAGACTCTGACCAACAACAGAAACACCCAAAAACCAGAAGCGGCCGCTGTGGCTCAACGGGGCCGAGCACAGGCCTAGGGTTAGGGGACAGCAGCACCCAGGCCCTGGGTTCAAACCCCAGGACTGACCACAAATAATAACAACAACAATAATAATAATAATAATGTCTTCCCCGGCATTGTGAGCTCCCAGATCACAGGCAGGGCAGAAACGGTGGGCTGCACCAACGTGCAAAGTCCAAAGGCAGCATGGAAGCGCACGCACACACACACACACACACACACACACACACACACCAGTGACGGACCGCCAGGTGGACAGCAAGCGAGCATCGGGGTGGGAAGTGATCTCGCACGCACGCGACGGGTCCGGGGAAGAATACGAACATGGATCTGAGGCCGTGGAACACGGAAGGGAGGTCCATCTCCAGGCCTGTCATCCCAGGGCAGGAGGCTGAGATCCGGAGGATCGCAGTTCGAGGCCAGCCCGGGCAAGAAAGTTCCCGTGAGACCCTTCTTAACCCACAAACCGCCAGGAAACTGGCGGGGGGGGGGGGGGGGGGGGCACCGCGGCTCACGAGGTGGAGTGCCAGCCAGCCTTGAGCACAAGGGAGCGCAGGGGACGGTGGCCCGGGGGCTCTGAGTTCAAGTCCCCCGCGGGCCGGGGGCAGGCACTCACGGAAGTATTTCAGGGTCTCCTCGATCTGCTCGGTGGTGAGGTCGACGGCGGCGTCGGGGGACAGCAGCGGGGTGTGCAACCAGTCATCGTGGTCATAGCCGTAGATGGTGTCTGCCCTCAGCTTGTAGTGCGGCAGCTGCTCCTCCAGCAGGCTGATGATCTCCACCTCCGGCAGGTTGGTGCTGTTACACACATCTGGGAGAAGGTCGGGGAGGAGGAGGGCTGGGCGGGGTGGCTCAGTGGGTAGAGCGCTCGCCTGGCACCCACGAAGCCCCCGGGTTCGATTCCCCAGCACCACATCCACGGCTAAAAGCTGGAGATGGCGCTGTGGCTCAAGTGGTAGAGCGCCAGCCTTGAGCAAAAGCAGCTCGGGGACGGCGCCCAGGCCCTGAGTTCGAGCCCCAGGAAGGGAGGAAGGAAGGAAGAGCCACACTGAGAGACCAGGCTCTTCCTAGGAGGCTGAGATCTGGAGGATCGCAGTTGGAGGCCAGCTCTGGGTGGGAAAGTCCCTGGGAGACTCTTCATCTCCCGATGAACTGGCTGGAAAACCCGAAGCGGGGGTTGTGGCTCAAGTGGTAGAGCGCCAGCCTTGAGTGGAAGAGCTGAGGGACAGCGCCCAGGCCCTAAGTTTGAGCCCCAGGACGGGCACCGCCCCCCCCAAAAAAAGTCCCCCCCCCCCAAAATATAAGTAAGTCACAGCACAAAGACCCTGGCTCGCTTCCGGCCATACTTGTGTCAGAGTTATTACATTATCACACAACCAACAACACATGCAAACACACGTGCACACACGCACAACTCCAGGACATACATACCCCAACAGGGCCGCACGTTAAGTGACGACCAGTACACCCCGCTGGGTCAGGTTTAAGAACGAGGTCCAGGATGCAAGGTGGGGAGGGCAGGTTTGTGCAATGGCTGGCGCAGCGGCCCGTGTGTTGTGCCATGAGGGCGGCTGCGGGGCGAGCGCTGGTTGGCTCCCACCTGTCAGCCTTGCTGGTCAGGGGGCTAGGGTCTGAGGTCCAGGGCTAGAAGCCAGCCTGGGCAGGGGGGAGGCCGGCGGACTCTGTGTCTCCCATGGACCAGCAGAAAGACAGAGGTGGCGCTGTGGCTCAAGGGGTGGAGCGCCAGCCTTGAGCCAAAGCAGCTTGGGGCAGCGCCCGGACCCTGAGTTCAAGCCCCAGGACTGGCAGAAAGAAAAAGCCAAGGGCTCTGGCTGAGCTGTTGATTTCTTTAGGCTCCAGGCTGGCGCTCTACCGCTTGAGCCGCAGCGCCATGTCTACCTTTTGGCTTTCTGCTGGTTCCTTGGGAGGTCAGAGGCTCACAGACTTTCCCTGCTCGGGCTGGCTTTGAACCGCGGTCCTCCGGATCTCAGCCTCCTGAGGGGCCGGGGTGGCAGGTGTGGACCTGGTCGCCCGGGGGGCCTGGTGCAGGTCACGCTCTTCCTGGCCCTGGGGCGCCGCCTGCCACGCCTCCCATGGCCACCAGGTGGCGCTGCGACTTCACCCACAAGAGACAGGAACCCACACACACACACACACACACACACACACACACACACACACACACACACACACACACACACACACACACACACACACACACACGGGGGGGGGGGGGAGGAGGGAGGGGGCAGGGGAAGGCGGGGAGGAGAAAAGGCTGAGCGGCCCTGGCCACCCGAGGAGGCCGAGATCCGGAGGATCGCGGTTCCAAGCCAGCTCAGGGCAGGCAAGTCCCTGAGACTCTCTGTTCATCTCCCATGAGAACCCACCAAAGAGCCAGGAGTGGCGCTGTGGCTCAAGTGGTAGAGCGCCCAGGCCGGAGGGGAAGCCCCGGATATAAAGACATTTTTTTTTTTTTTTTTTTTTTACCAGAGTTTAGAAATAAATAGAGACCAAAGTCGGAGAAGCCAGCAGCCGCCTCGGTCCCGGCCCTGAAGACACTGGCAGGAAACTCCAACTCATGAACCCACCCATCCACCTGTCAATCAATCAATGGATGGATCGATCCATCCGTCCACCCCTCGCCCCTCCCACTGGGCCATTAACCTTGCATGTGGCCAGAGAAACCACACTGCCCAGCGCCAGGACACCCCACCTGCTTCTGCCTGTAGTCCCGGCCCACTGGGCCCAACTTCTCGGGAACGCAAGCTCCTCCCGGCGCCCAAGCCCCGAGTTCGAGTCCCAGGGAGAGGAAAGGAAAGCAGATCTCGGGCAAACACAAGGCCTCCAGGGGGTTGTGAGGGAAAAGCCCGGGGTCTCGGCCTCTGGTGCGACTCGTGCCCAGCCCGCACCCCGGGAGGAAGGGATGGGGGTGACTGGGCCCCGGCCCAGCCCATCATCCACGCTCTTCTCTCCTACTTCTCCCTGACTGTGCCTCGGGGCACACAGAAGGCTGCCATCACCCCGGCAAACGAACGCAACTTACCAGGACGCAATTTACCAGGTGAGTGTCTCGGGGCCCTCGGGGGAGGCTGACACCCCCACACCAGGGCCATGGCCTAGGCCAGGTGGGAGGAAGAGGAAGAAGGGGTGGGGGAGAGGAAAGGAAGAGGGAGATCCAAAGCGGCCATAGGGCGTCTAGGCTCAGCACGTGGCTGAGCCCTGCGTGTCCAGGCAGGCTGGGCGGGGCGGGGGGGTGTTGAGTCACCCCACGCTGGCTTCCCATCCCACAGGCCCCGGCAAACCCCATCACCCCATCTTCTTAAAGCGCCCCACACGGAAATCACCCCCGGCTCACATGGTGGCTGCGATCCGGAGGATCGTGGTTCTAAAGCCCACGGAAGTGCAGTGTGGGTGAGCGCCCAGCCTTGAGCACACAGACAGACGGACATAGACAGACAGCACCCGGGCCCGGAGTTCAAGCCCCAGGATGTCCCCAGCCCTGGGGACCCCCTCCCCCCGGATCCACACACACGCAACCCCATACCAACCAGTGATGGTGCACGCATCCTGGTACAGCCTGTGGCCCGGGCTGTCTGCCGCCGCCTCGCTCACGTAGTGCTCCTCGGGGAAGCCGGGGCTGCCAGCGGGGAATGCATGTTCCCAGGCGCGGGGCGGGGCCGGAGCGTCGTCGGGCGGGGCGTCGGGGGGGTCCAGCTTGACAGGTGTCAGGAGGAGGCGCCCACTGCCATGGGGGACCCCGCGGCTAGAGGCTGGGGCAGGCGGCGGGGTCCGGGGGGGCGCCGCGGAGAGCTATAAGGGGGTGAGCCAGAGAGAGAGACACACACACACCGTCAAATCATCCGGGAGAAAAAAAATCACATGGGAGTTGGGAGGCTGAGATCCGGAGGATCGCGGTCCGAGGCCGGCCTCGGGCGGGAGAGGTCCGGGAGACTCGGATAAGGGAGGGTGGCCAGGCCCCGAGTTCCAACGCCGGGGCCGACACCGGCGTCACCGCCACCACGAATTCACATTCGCCTCCGCTTCTGTCAAAGCAGGGGTGTTGGAGGAGAGCCCTGCGCAGCCCGGCCAGACTTAAGATGGGGTTTGATGCATTGTGCGGGGGGGTTAGGGGAAGGAGCATGCTGAACGTTGGGGATGCCAATGGGGCGTCTGTTTGAGAGGTTCAGTGCCTTTTCCTCCCCTCCCACCTTCCCTCTCTCTCTCTCTCTCTCTCTCCTGGTGTGACCTCTCTGCCCAGCTCCTGAAATAGCCAGCCAGGCGGCAAGATGCCGGCCACACTCGCCAAACAGGGCAAAGAGCAAAGCCACGGAGGAGAGGTGTGTGTGTGTGTGTGTGTGTATCTGCAGCCATGGGTCTTGAACTCTGGGCCTGGGCGCTGTCCCTCAGCTCTTCAGCTCAAGGCGAGCGCTCTACCACTTGAGCCACAGCGCCACTTCCGGTTCTCTGGTGGTTCCCTGGAGACTTTCCTGCCCCAAGCTGGGCCTTGGACAGCGATCCTCCGGATCTCAGCCTCCTGAGTGGCTGGGATTGACAGGCGTGAGCCACCGTGCCCATGCTGTTTTCTAGTTTTGCAGACAAACCCCTACGTAGGCCTGGGAATTCCTTCAAGCCTATCGATGAAAATGTACAGAATATTCTAGAACAGATGGCTGCAGGTAATCCGGGCTGGACTTACAAAACCAGTTTGCGGCCGCCGCCGGGGTAGGGGAGAATTCCCAGCGGCTGGAAAAGTTGAGCTAAAACTAGTGGTTCAAGAAGACTGGGGGAGGGGGGGAGAGGGAGGCTTCTAGAAAGCCATGGAAACATGGCCAGGGCTGGGTGCCAGGGGCTCGCTCACACCTGCTGTCCCGGCAACTCCAGAGGCTGGAAATCCCAGGCCAGGCCAGGGAGCTCAGGAGACTCCATTCTCCACCAGCAGCACAAAGCTGGACTGGAGGCGTGGCCCGAGGGGTAGAGCACCAGCCAGGAGGAGCAAGAAAACCTAGCAGGAGCAGGAGAGGCTGCAGCACTGGCCAAAATGGCAGGAGGAAGGGAATAAAAGGGGGCGTATGGGGGGGAGGGAGGAGAGGAGAGGGAGGAGGAGGAGGAGGAGGAGCAGCAGCTGACATTTGCAGGAAGTCCAGCACAGAGACTCCAAGCCGGGCACCCTGGGGAACATTCCAGAAGCTGCTGGGCGTGTTGGGAGCGCTGGCTTTTTTCCACCATGAGGTCATCTCCCCTCCCACCAGGCGGGACGGGGCAGCGGCTCCAGCCTGGAATCCCGGCCACTCGGGAGGCTGAGGTCCGGAGGATCGCGGGTCGAGGCCAGCCCCGGGCCAGGAGAAGTCCGTGAGACTCTGACCTCCGATGAACCACCAGAAAACCGGGAGTGGCGCTGTGGCTCAAGCGGTAGGGCACCAGCCTTGCACTCAGAGAGGCCCGGGGCCGGCGCCTTAGGCCATGAGTTCAAGGCCCAGGCTGGGCAAAATAAATAACTCAGCAGGGCTGGCACTCCCAAATTCCTGGCCGAGGCCCGGGCAGCGTGGAATGTTCTATATTAAGACGCTGGCCCCGGCTGGCCTAAATAAAGTTCAAGAGCGCGCGCGCGGGGTTCGCGTGACCCCGGCAGCTGACGCTGGATGCCGGCCCATTCCACACCCAGGAAGCAGCAGCTCCCCAGCCTGTGTGTCTGTGTCAGGACTTGAACTCAGGGCCTGGGCGCTGTCCCCCAGCCCTTCAGCTCAAGGCGGGCGCTCTACCCCTTGAGCCTGCACAGTGCCACTTTGGATTTCCGGCTGGTTCATTGGAGATCAGAGTCTCACGGACTTTCCTGCCTGGGGCGGGCCTCGAATTGCGATCCTCAGATCTCAGCCTCCTGAGTCCCTGGGCCCATTGGCTGTTTCTCTAGGCGAATGGCGGCAGGGCAGGCGGCTGGGGGGGGCGGGGGTCAGCCCGGGTGAGGTTCGGGGTTCCAGCCCAGGGATTTCGAGTCTGCCCCTCCCTTCTTGGCCGGCAGCCCTGCCTTCCAGCAAGTTCCTCTTGGGTCACAGATACGGTGTCACCAGCGGCCTGGCTGCCATCGGAGGCAGAGGAGCGTCTTGGCTCCTGGGGAGAAAGTTCTACCGCTCGGGTGCAGGGGTGGGGGGTGGGGGGGAAGGAGGGAAGGGCGCCAGTGGCTCCCGGCTGTCATCAGCTACTCAGGAAGGTAAGATCCGGAGGATCTCGATTCGAGAAAGTTCGTCAGACACCCCCCCCTTATTTTTTTTTTTTTTCCTGTCAGTCCTGGGGCTTGAACTCAGGGCCTAGACACTGTCCCGGAGCTGCTTTTGTTCAAGGCTGGTGCTCTACCACTTGAGCTGCAGACAGCGATCCTCCAGATCTCAGCTTCCTGACAGGTGGGAGCCCCCCCCCCCCCGCCCCCGCTGGTCCCAACTTCTTGTTTTGTCTTTAAGGACGAACAAAAAGTAGCCTGCTCAGCAATCCCTATCCTGGCGGCCGACACATTCGCTGAAAGTTGAGCTGACTGGGACCAGACAGGGCGCAGGAGGCTGGCAGGGAGGCTGGCGGGGTGCGGGAGAGAAAGGATCTCATTGTGCCCGGGGGCAGGGGGAGGGGGGATCCCACAAAGCTGGCCATTGTCGGGGGAGGAAACTCGGCCGGCTTTGCCCCAGCGGGTACACAGGGGAACCTCAGCCCTAGACTGGAAACAGCCAAGAAAGGAAGGGCATGGTAGCTCCCGCCTGTAATCCCAGCCACTCGGGAAGCTGAGATCTGCAGCCCCGGCTCCCTGAGACTCTGATCCCCAGTGAACCCCCCTGCCCCACCGAAACAAGAAAGCCAGAAATGGTGCTAGGCCCTGAGTTCCAGCCCCAGGACCCGCACATTAAAACAAAGGTAAAGCCGGGCCAGGAGAAGCGAGGAGGAGGGCGGAGGCCGGGCCGGCCACCTGCCGGCCCCCAGCTGTTCTCGCGAGGCTCTGCCAGAAACCAACGGGCAAACAGGGCACGTGCCAAGGCGCAGGCGCGTGGGTTCTAGGTCTGGAGACCTAGCAGGGGCCAGAGGGGCGGACAAAACCGCCCCAGACGGGCGCCGGGAGGGCTGGGCAGGTGGCTCAGTGGTAGAGCGCTCGCCTGGCGGGCAGGAGGCCCCGGGTTCGAGTCCTGGGCACCACAGAAGCAGAAAAAGCAGAGGTGGCGCCGTGGCTCAAGGGGTAGAGCGCCCGCCTTGAGCTGAGGGGCGGAGGGACGGCGCCCAGGCCCAGAGTTCAAGCCCCGGGTCTGACCAAAAAGAAGCAGCTGTATGGGGCGGGGGGGGTGGGGGGGGGAGGCCTGCCACTCACATGGGCAAAGAAGACAGACAGACAGACAGACACAGCAGTTGGAGGAGTCTGAGGGGAAACCCAGAGGGTGGAAGTTTCTAGCGGCCCTGGGGGAAGCCAGTGTGACTTCAGAGGGAAAGAATGACGGTCATGTAGAAAATGCCGTGGAGGGCCGAGGACCCTGCCGGCCGGGCATCGTAGCTCACGCCTGTAATCCCGGATACCCAAGAGATCTCAACTTTGGGCACGAGCCCCGAAGCCTGTGAGACTCTTATCTCCAGTCAACTACCAAAGGGACCAACACACACACACACACACACACACACACACACACACACACACAGAACGGAGCCCCTGGTCCCTGACTAAGCCAGTTCCCCCAGAGTCTCTGATCAGCTAATAAGCAATGCTGACTTTGGAGCTGGACAGGCGGATGCCATTTTACCAGCTTTCCGTGTGTCACGCTGAGAGAGAGAGAGAGAGAGGGAGGGAGGGAGGAGGGGAGGGCGGGAGGAGGGGGAGGAGGGGGCAGCGTAGATTGCATTACTCACGGTCCAGCAGCCGTTCAGCGCATGCAAGACAGATCTCATTGTGTCTCAGGGGCCTCCAAGGAAGGTCGGGGGGGCCCTGGGGCTGCCCGGGAATGCAGGGGGAGGGGGGGCGCGTCTCGCCTGCTTCAGGCCCCGTGGTAATTGCCAGGAGCACTTTAACAAGCACCCGCGGCTTGTCCACGGCAATCATCATCACAACAGTGAGCCTAACACCGCTGCCTGGCATCCCAGCCGACTCGGGAGGCTGAGATCCGGAGGATCGCGGTTTGAGGCCAGCCCCCGGGGAGGGGGGGGGGCAGTCTGGGAGACTCTGATCTCCAAGGAAACCACCAGAACACAGGATAGAGCAGATCCCAGCGGGACAGGAAAACCCTTCCTTCCCACGAGCCAGCTCGAACCTCACAGCTGCGGCCCGGGGTTTGTTTTTGTTCTGTTCTCAAAGACAATGAAGAGTCTCGTTCTGCAGCAGCTGTGGCATTGGCCGCCCGCCCCGGGGTTGTGTGAGCTCACAGAGGGGGCACGCGTGGGCCGGGCCGGGCACTACAGCGCACGCCTGCCATCCCGGCCACTCTGGAGGCTGAGATCCGGAGGATCGTGGTTCAAAGCCAGCCCCGGGGGGGGGGGGGGGGGGAGAAAGTGGGGGGAGAAGGAAAGTCCAGGAGTCGCTGATCTCCCATGAACCACCAGGAAACCGACAGAGGCGCGTGGCTCAAGTGGTAGAGCGCCCGCCTTGAGCGAAAGAGCTGAGCGCCCAGGCCCTGAGTTCGAGTCCTGCCGCCGAGTTTTGAGCAACTTCCCGTCCAGTGGGAGGGGAGGGAAGGGAAATGGAGTCACCGAAAGAGAGAGAGAGTAGCAACGAAGAAGGCCGGACAGAGAGAGACCAGAGGAGAGCAGATCCCAAAGACACGGCTGTGCGGATTCCATCCCAGGGAGCAA